AGTTCTGTGGCAGCAGGCAAGAGCGTCGACACCAAGAGCCCAAAAACGCGGCAACATACGACAACCACAGGTGTCTCTTCTCGGTGGTGCGGTCCTGCCATCAAACATCGAGGCAGCCTTGGAAAAAGGTCCAAAGTTCTGCAAAGAACCCAAACTGCATCCTGTTGCCAAGCTGTCCTTGGTGAGAGGGATGGCGGAAAAAGCCACCCCTGAGGACAAGGAAAGGTGCGTCGCGGATGGCGTCGATGTTCTTCGGCGCCTGCCAGGTCAATCGATGAAAGGATGGAAAAAAAAATGCGCCTTGTGTCGTTCCACTTCTTTGTCCTTGTCTTTTTCGGCGCTTTTAATTATTTAAAGAACCATGAACCAACTAGCTCAACTTTCCACTTTGCAGTGTTTGGAGTGTTCTGCTTCTGTATTCTGTTCTTTTACTGTATGATCATATCTCACAAGCTTCACAATAAAGCTGTCTTTGTGCGTTCTGTACTCACTTTTGAATACCTACGAATAAACGGTCAGTGGTGTACTCCCGGGTCGCACTTTTCGGAGGCGCAGTGGGGGCAGCAAGTGTATCACTGGGGCGCTCTTAAGCCACTTGGCTCCCCCATTTACGCCGCTTTGCAGTCACAGTCAGCGAATGGCCCATTAAAAAATGAAAGCCGTTTACAATTCCCTGTAACGCCGGTTAGAGCGCAGCCCTTGAGGAGGAAGATGGAAGCGTACTCAGGGATAGGTGACTCCTTGAGGTCACGTGACCTCAAGGGGGTCACGTGACTTCAGGGGGTCACGTGAATTCAGGGCGTCACGTGACCTCAGGGGGTCACGTGACCTCAGGGGGTCATGTGACCTCGGGAGGTCACGTGACCTAGGGGTGTCCCGTGACCTCGGGGGTCACGTGACCTCGGGGGTCCCGTGACCTCGGGGGTCACGTGACCTCGGGGGTCACGTGACCTCAAGGGGGTCACGTGACTTCTGGGGGTCACGTGACCTAAGGGGGTCACGTGACCTAAGGGGTCACGTGACCTCGGGGGGTCACGTGACCTAGGGGCGTCACGTGACCTCGGGGGGTCATGTGACCTCGGGGGGGGTCACGTGACCTCGCGGTTCCGCCGATGGCGACGCCGACGCCGCTCAAGCCGGAAACGGGCCCCTAAGAGCTGCGCTCCAAAATAAAAGCTGTTTACAACTCCCTGCGATGCCGGATTAGAGCCCAGCTCTTGAGAAGGATGGAAGGGTACTGAGGGATAGGTGACTCCCTGAGGTCACGTGACCTCGGGGGGGGGGGGGGGGGGGGGGGGGGGTCACATGACCTCAGGGGGGGGCACACTCATAACCCTCGTGACCCTTGTGGGAGTAACCCTCGTGACCATCGTGAGGGTAACCCTTTTGAGGGTAAATAACCCTCGCAACCCTCGTGAGAGTAACCCTGGTAACCCTCGTAACCCTAACAAGGATAACCCTCGTGACGTCATTATGGGAACCTTCCCATAATGCAACGCGCAATTACGCCGACGGCGACGCCGCTCAAGCCAGAAACGGGCGACTAAGAGATGCGCTCTAAAAATATTAACCCACCTGGCCCACCCGCATATGCCGCTTCATGGCACCCCGCCGGCAGCCCAAGCCCCAATGTACCTCATTGTACCCCCAAAAAGTCAATTGCAATTTTCATCTTTCTGAAGCTTTTTTTTTTTTTTTTAAATTCACAAGTGGCATAATGTACACAAAATATGGCACATCTGAGGGATGAAAAAGATAATGTAATGTGTTTTGTATGTGTGTGAAAAATTGTCAATATAAGGCTTAGAAATCACCATTTTTAGTCTTGGCTATTTTGGCTATATTTGTTCTGCGGCTTTGGCTATATTTCGGCTATACCTTCCAGCCGTTTGGCGGTTTTTTGGTGGGACCATCTGGCAACACTGTTTCTTTTTTTTATCAGTTCGATGGGCTTGGCCAGCAAAATCGTTCCGGGCTGGTTGGGGGTTCTCAATAGTGCAAGCTCTGTTCAGAGGTAGAGTGACCGTGCAAGGTCATGGTGTATCATAAGTGTATACAATGGTGGCTGCGGAGTTTGAAGAAAAGTAGGAAGAAGGGAAAGAAAAAAAAAAACAGCTTTTTTTTTGTGTGTGTGCGTTGGTGTGTGACAATTTCTGTTTCAAAGTGTATATAAGAGGTTTACTGATTAACCGAGTTTGAGACGTCATCTTACTGACTTCTTTCCCTGTCTCTTTTACTTTTGGTTTCAAAATTTTCTCACCCTGCCTCAGGTATTTTAACAAAATGGTAAACTTACACCAGCTCGCCTGCCCCCTCACCGTGTTCACATAAAAACCGTCACCAAAAAAGCTGGAACTCGCGAAATGTGGGGCGTGCGCATGTGGTCACTGTTACGGCTCTCTGACGTTTGCTAGTCGTAACAAAAAGCATCATCGCACGGCAAGTGTGATGACGCATTTTCCATCTCATTTCCCCTCCACCCTTCTTCGCCCCTCACTCTGTTACATAAAACCACATGTACACAAATAAACCCATGTTTGTAGCTAGTCGCTCATTGCATTTTTCTAGTTTGTGCCACCACAGCACTCGGCAAAAATGAATGAAGTGCAATAAAACTGTATTGCAATACTGCCTTTATATGAAGCATTTTGTAACACTCCAACTCTGTAAGTGTAGGCTTCAAAAACGAAATGAAACAACTTGAAAATATCTTATTCCTCTGCACAGACAAAAGTAAGAGACTTTCTGGTCGACACCGCTACTCACAGATCAAACCACTATTGGCATGGAAACTTCGGTGCACCGACGAACTGCGCTGGGGCAAGCTTGGATCTGCCTTTGAGTGGAAACTTTTGAGATTTTGCTCCCAATAGTAAATCCACTGTTTGAAGTGCAATGAGTATGAAACGTGAAATTAAGAATAAATAAAACAGGGTGTGCTCAGCCACATGCAATGCAGACAACATTGCTGACAACTGTCTCCTTGTATCGACTGCTTTCCAACTCCTGCGCTTTTTTTTTTTTGCATCTCGCCTATGTTCGTATACGACGACGCCACCTGCGAGCAGAGGCATCGACCAGATGATGCGTTCATATTTGTTTTCTTTGTGCGCAGGAATAACATGTTTTTCTGAAGTTATATTGCAAGGGGTGCAGGCGAGCTGGTTAAAAACTGACATTTTTTAACCCCGGAGAGTGGGGAAAGAGAAGGACAGGACAACACAAATCTCCAAACACAGCAGAGGTATTTTGTGAAATAAACCTCAGCCGTGCTTTGGAGATTCACAGTGGCCTGTCCTTCCGTTTCCCCAATCACCAGGGTTAAGAAAAGTCACGTTTTCCTGCCTGTTATTGCCAACTCTTTCTTTCCCCGTACAATTAGTTACAGTGAAATCTCATTAATTCACACTCTCTTAATTCAAACTCGCAGAAAATCCAAAATAACATGCAGGTCCCATTCTATGTGTTTCTAGGAAGAAAACTCCCATTAATTTAAACTTTGCATTATTCAAACGAAGTTCTGGTCCCCTTCGGGTCCAAAAAGAGGCCACATCTCCACGTGGTGAATGATGTTGATTGGGGCGAAGCTCTGGTGGTGCTGATGATACTGATTTTATTGTTCATAGGTAGTGCTGATGGTGCTGATTTTTTTTTTATTGCTCATAGGTAGTGCTGAATTCCGAGTTGCGTTTCGACTTTATTATTACTGCTTTATGGTCGGTGAAATGCAGAGCCGGTCGTTCGTCTAGCAGATCAGCTTGGATCCGCTAGAAGTTGTGGGAACGCACCTCCACCGCTTAAGTCAACGGTCCGTGTCAGAAAGAGAATGTGTGGTATGGATCCTGGTTATATACGCAATTGAGCATTTGACCACAGCGCCCTCTCGTCTATAAACGTTGAGCCAATGCATGCAAAGTTTAACGTGATTCTATACGCATTTGACCGCAGCGCCCTCTCCTGTATAGACGTTGAGTGGCTACATGCAACATTGGAGTGTAGCGTAGTGGTTAAGACGTCTGCCTCGTAAGCAAGCGGTCCTGAGTTCGAACCCTCTGCGGGCGTACGTTGTTGTTTTTTTAAGTAAGCTGATCCCGGAGGCAGTGCAATCGATGTGAGCACGGACGCCGAATGGGTGGACAAGGCTAGACCCCAAGGAGCTTCGCCCCTAATTAATGACATTCCACTGTACTATAACAATGCTTTCTGTTAGAAGTAACAATGCCAATGGAAAGGGTAGCCCTACCCTTCTGCAAACCGTGCACATTTAAAGGCCAGTTCGCACACTCGCGTTCGATTGCAACCAAGTGCATTGCAAAACCTCGCTCTCCCTCGTGACTGCTTACGACGTGAGAACATGCTGGCGCTATTTATCGGGTAGCCCTAGTATACTTACCATGCTTTGACAATGTTATAAACAACCATTTCTCATAGATAGTGGGTACATTTATCTCGCTAATACTACTGCAAAACCTTCACTCCAGTTAAATGCAGTTCCAGGGCTGCCTCACAGGTGGTGCCAAAGTGCCAGTGTGTAAGCGACTGCGAGAGAGCTCAAACCTGCACAACACACTCGGTAGCGATGTGGAGCGCAAGTTCGTCTGCTTCTTTTGCAGGGGTTGCAGCAACAACAAAACGCCGAGCTCTGATTGAATTATAGTGGGTAGACCTCAAAGGTATACCCATTTTCTTTCAATCAGAGCCAAACAGAGCTCAGCGATCTGTCGTCACAACAACCCCGACCTGGAAAAGAAGCAGACGAACTTACACTCCGCATAGAACGCAAGTGTGTGTACCAGCCTTAAGACTCATTGTTTGGGAGCCCTGCAGTTCCCGAGGGCTACATGCAACGTCAGAAATTTCGGTAGGCCCTGCAGTACTACCGATTAGATTTACCAGTAGTCCGGGAGGCCAAGAAGAGCAAGCAAAGGTTTTAACGGGCAGGTCGACAGAGCTGCTACTTGCCGGCAGCCTCGGCAAGAAAGATTGGCCCTCGTGCAAGCCTACCTCCGAGGCCGATGCCTCTGATCTTGGTACAGCTTGTACTTTCCCAGGGCGTCTGCTTCGTCCCTGAGCCACAAGGGTCCGTCCCACAGCTGTGCCTTGAGGAAGTTGGAAGCACGGTAGCAGGTATCGCTGCAGAATTGCTGCAAGTGATATGCCACAAACGTGGATCAAATAAGCAGACACAGAGACAGTATGCTGGAAATTATGAAAGGCACTAAAGGCACTGGAGATGTAAGCTAACACAAGTGTAAACACATGGAAAAGCGCAATTTCTCCATTTATTCAAGCAAACCAATGCCTCGAAATGTACTATTCATAAAGACATTTTAACGCTGAAACTTCCAATGCACAAGTTTTTAAACAGAATTTGAAAGGAATTTGACTATTAATTGCAACAATGTGTATTAAAGCGGCACACTATCTACTTTCAACAAACTTCCGCAGCTCTATTTTAGGCGTGTGATTGAGTGCCAAAATGTGATAGGACAATAGTGTGTTTTTGTTATCTTGAATGTTATTTATCAGTTTATTTTTAAAGTTGCACTAGTTAGTGCAGTGAAATAGACTAAAAGCTTGTTCAACAATTCATCTTTTGCTATGGCTTCTATCTTATCCCCTTTTGTCTCAGTAGCATTGGTAGTTTATCATGGATTCACAGACCACTCGATACAAAGTGCATTAGCTCTCTGAAAGTTAGAGGCAAATCAGGACTTCTTTTGGCACATTAATAGTTTAGCCCCATGCGGCAGCATAAAAACCCTCATCCAAATTTAATTGCGAGCTAACAACAAACTTTTTGTGTAAGGCTTATCGAAATGCTAGTTGCTGGAGAAAACTAGCCATCTGCAATAAATCCATATTTCAAACCTTTTTTTTTTTTTTTTTCAGATGTGTTTATTGAAAAGCCCAACGAAAGGGCCCAGTATGCACTTGAACCTGCACCCCGCCGTTTCCTTCGGCACAGCAAAGACCACCTGCTATGGTCAGCGTCACCATGACAATGAAGCGTATTCTTTCCAGATGAACGCACAAACACATCTCAAGCCAGCAACAGCAGATGCTATCTTCCAAATGCTGTCTGCTAAAGTGAATGCAACAACGCTAGCAAAAGTGAGACGCGCCATCATGGAGGTTGATGCTGAGAGCGGAAACCGGTCACTTGGTAAACTCTTGCAATTCTGATGAGGCTTGGTCGCTCAGGCCCGAGATTACTATAATCAATTTTCCCAAGCATAATAGCATGAAGCAAGGGGTGACCACACGTAGTGCAGTCTGTTTGGAAGCCTAGTATGGAGCCCAATGAAAAGCACGGCGAAAGAGCCCAAGCAAACGTTACCGCATTGGTAGTGGACGGCATTTGGAAGATGGCATGGCTGTGGGTGGCTTTAGATGCTTTGTTTGCGTGTGTGTCTATTGACATTCGGTGAACATATTAGATGAACTTTATCGTACTGAAGAAGGCGGTGGTGTGGCGAGATTAGGTGCGTACTTGGGCTCTTTCACCGTGGCTTTTATTGGGCAAAACATAAACAAAAAGAGTTTTAATTAAATATTTAATGTAGATGCATTATTTTCTCCAGCACCTAATATATTGACAAGCCTTATACATAAAGCAGGCTTTCTTGGCTATCAGACAGCTATTTTCTTTTCCCTTGAACATGGGGCAAAAGTACTAAACTACCCTTCCTTTTTTTGGACTTCCTCAACTACTTTTAAATTTTATTCCATGCTTGCCTACTGCAGATGCTGCAAGACATACATATCAAAATTGTCACACCAGGTGCATAACACAGCACTAACGAATGCCCTCTTCTTGCCAACTGCATATAAATCTTTAAACTACACTTTACAAACTCTACGCCATAAAACCTGAAACCATTTCTGTTTCAAAGCCCTTGAACAAAATGCACTTAAGTAACTTTTTCTTTACCATCCCTTTATGGCAGGGGTCGGCAACCTTTTTAAGTAAAGAGCCGAGTCATCACGAAGCTGACATAGAGGGGGCCGGACAACAAGCCATGAAGGGTGTGGGGGGCAAATGAAGAGCAAAAAGGAAGTGAAAACCATGGCATCACAAGGGTTAGGGGTGCAAAGTGCAACAACTCAGGGTGGTGCAACTGGACAGTGGAAGGGGGGAGAGGGGGTGTTGTCGCAGCAGGCCACCACCCAGAGAGCCGCTGACCCTAGTGATGCCACTGAGTGAAAACATTCTCTTTTGAGGTCAAAACTACCATGTAGTCCTCGAGCATGTAAGGAAGTGGCAGAGTGTGGAGGGGGGCTCTTTAGAGCGCAGCTCTTAGGCGTCCGTTTCCGGCTTGAGCGGCGTCGGCATCGGCGTCAGCGTAACCTTGAAGTCACGTGACCCCCTGAAGTCACGTGACCCCCAGAGGCTACATGACCCCCCTGAGGTCATGTGACGTCCCACCTGAGGTCACGTGACCCCTCTGACGTCACACGACCCCCCCCTGACGTAACGTGACCTCAAGGAGTCACCTATCCCTCAGTACCCTTCCATCCTCCTCCTCAAGAGCTGTGCTCTAAAATAGCGTTAGAGGGAAATGTAAACAGCTTTCATTTTTTTCGTGTTGTGTCGGGGGCTGCACGAAACAGCCTCACAGGACACACGCAGCTCGCGGGTTGTGGGTTGCTGGCCCCTGCTTTATGGGATGATAAAGCAATGGTGAGGTTTACTACAGTACTACAGTTGAACCTCGATATAACGAAACCTGATTTTACAAATTTCCCAATTTAATGAACAAATTCGGATACCCCCGCACAGCCTATGCCCGAAAAATGTTTTTGTCGAATTTACGTAGTTCCCGATTTAACAAAATAATTAGCGGGTCCTGGTGATTTCGTTAAATCGAGGTTCAACTGTATTTCTTTAGAGAGTTTCATTCAAAGGGCCAAAGCGACCAAACAGAAGAAAAAAGTGTTGGTTGAGGTTGGCTTTTTCTTACAATATAATGTTTTAGCTGACTGCAGTGATGGAAGTGGAATCTGACTTTTTGTAGCAGGTTCTGTAGCAGGAAACATATTGGTTGAGTGCAGCCACTGATGCTTTTGAAGCAAATGCTTCAAAAGCAGATGCTTTAAGAGCATTGAAGCATTTGCTTTTGAAGCGAATGCTTCAATCTGTCAGCACATCACTTGAAAATAAAGTATTGCATCGCTAAATGAGTTCATCTTTGACAATGATCAAGGGCTCCTCTTTAATACTAGAGCATACTACTACTTATTACTTTTAAAAGAATAAACAGGGCCAGAAAGAAACACAGAGACTTATTCTTAGAAATAGGGCTCTTATCAGAGTGGGTTCCATTTAGAATGGGCACTAAAAAATGGTTGAAAACTTAATCATAGCACAATACTTTAGTTGGAATACAGCAAAACTCGTTTATAACGAACAGCAGGAAACGCTACGATCAGTTCGATATAGCATGTAGTTCGATATAGCAAAACCCAGCTACGACTTTCCCGATGATTAAATATCGATCTTTAAATCGCTGCAGCCACCCAGATCCAGCGGTGAAGCCCTCAACGTTCAGGAGGGATGCAAAATCTCTAGCATGGCTTTGCAACATCGGTCCGGAGACCGGCAGGTTCCGCGCACGAATGTCAAAAAACCATTGGTACAGCGCTTTTTCCACCTTGTCGTACGCCGGCTTGCGGATGCGCCTGCTGTCCGCGTTTGGCCGTTCACAGGCTTTGTCTCGGATGGCAGACTTGTTTTTAAGAATTGTACTCAGCATACTTCTGGGGATCTTGTAGGCGGCGGCAACGTCTGATTTCTTTTCGCCGTGCTCCACACGACTGATGATGTCGACCTTGTCGGAAAGTGGCAGAGCCTGCCGCTGCTTTGTCGTCATTTCGGGAGGGAACTAGCAGGCCCGCACAGTGAACAGAAAGTACAATGGGGACAAGAAGGACGACAACAAACGACGACTAAATTAACGAGAAGAAAGGAGGGAGGGAGAGAGAGAGAGCTTTGCCTGGGGGTGGTTGATGCTTTCAACGGCATGTGACAATGCTATGGAATCTGAAATGCGATAGGCTTATTGCTTCTTGGGGCGTGGCGTGTCAAGCCCCAAGTGAATGCGCAAGGTGAGGAGGGTCAAACTAGAGTGCCTTCAAGTTCTCTTCGGCGGGACATGAAGGCCCCCTAGGTCAAACTAAAGTGACTTTAGGTGAAACAGGGCGCGAAGGGAGAGGAGGCGAGAACTTCTCTTTCTTTCTCATCTCTTCGCTTCTGCCTTGTAACAACGCGCTAGAAAGATCTTTTTTAGCTTATCTCCGTTTTTTAATTGCTTTTCTTCGTAAGCAACCGCTTTGCACTTAAAAAGATATGTTTTTCTGTGCCCCTTCGGAATCACTTTTCTTCGCTTATTTTTGTTTGCAGCTCGAGCTTTTGGAATTTTTTTTCTTTTCTTTCCTACACTTTTTCGGGCGAAGGCATTGGCTGAAAGACGATTGTTTGCGCGTTTTTGGAAGCCTTCCAGGGGAAAAAGGTTTGATATAGTTAATATGTCGCTCGTTATAAAAAGTACTTTTTACATACATTTTGATTTAAATTTTTTGTGAGTTCGATATCGACAATAATTCGCTGTATGTGGGTTCGTTCTAAACGGGTTTCACTGTAAAGCCTGCCTCCCTTCCCACTTTTACACCCGGCAGTTTACTTACCCAATCAATAAAAATGCTTCCTCGAAGTTCTATGAACCAACTAAACTCAGGACTCTAATATGACAAACTGCAAAAACAACCACCCACAAATATCATAAACAACTACACTTGTACGTTAAAACTGATACTGCTCTATAGCTGTGTTGCAGCCAGAGTGAATTTCAAGTTTGCTGCTCTTTTGATCGGCAGCTGCACGGTATTAACCTTGACTACTGCATCACTCCGCTGCAAACCGGTGAAGCTCGAAGCGTGCGTGCTGGTGAGAGGTGGCACGGAGGTATGCGGCAGACAGGATAATCGAGAGCTTTCATCAGGAGTAGAAGACCCTGGTTCCGTCTTATCACAGTATCCACCATCCTCTATAATGTCTTCTCGCGACTGTTAGCTCCTAACAGCGCCAACATCGTCTAGAAATTTAGACGATATCGGCGATCAACCTGCCAGCTCATCAATTAGCCAGAGCGGTTGACGTGCAATCTCAATACTTCGTTTCCTCTCAAAATAAAGTGCAGCCAACACTACGAGCCAATGGGACTAAACAAATAGCATCAAAGCACGACATCATGGCATTCGTCCATCTCCTTGTACGTGTTGTTTCATCGGCTAAACCAATCAAGTGCAGCTAATGTCCCGTGACTTGTGCGTTTAGTAATATGTGTTTGTGGTAGTATGTGTTCGAGCCCTCAACTGTACTCTGCCCTAATATGAAATAAACCATACAATGAGTAGGGACATTGTGAAATACATACAGTCTAAGCTCATTAAAACAGACCTTGATTTTGACCAAGATTTTGGTCTGTTGTAAGAGGAGTATGCTGTATGCAGATATGAAGTTGAGTCAATGGTATGTAGAGGAAAACCAAATAAACTTTGCAAATCTGTATGTTATATCCAAATGTATGTTGTAACCCGGTCTGTTGTAATCAGCTTAGACTGTATTTATGCCATTTTGAAGCTGTTTATGGCTAGGGTTCCGTGGATTTTTCGTGTGCGTCAACAAAAACTCCATGGCTACGCTTACATTGCCCTCCCTTTGCCATCGTTCCAAGCGTTCGAGTCCCTAGTTTCCTTTCCTTTTGCCGAGTAGCGGTCCCGTTGTGCGTCTAGTTTCCTCAGGCTCCTCAGAGCGGCGAGAATCCTCGACATCTGTGTGTGTACCTTTCATACGATGACCACCGATCAAGATAATAGACGTGTTCGTACCTTCGTTCAAAATTCTGTGTCACGTCTGTGTCGTGTGCTAAACATCTTCGCTGGTCATTCATCTTCACAGAGTGGAATGGCTCATGATTTTTTTCTTTCCTTCTACTTCCCTGAATATTAGGGTCAACCCATAATAAAATATCTTTATTTTTTGCTTCACTTTTAAGCCCATCTCGGCACAGGTATGCTGTAATTTTCAGCAAAAAAAGGCACTTCGGCACAACATGTAGCACTTTCGTTCATGGCATGATTTGGTGCAAATGGCGCAGCGCTTCCATCACCGTGATTATGAGGGTCAAGAAATATCTTACCTTCCGGTAGGTGATGTCGTACACCTTTTTAGATTTCACGCATATATGATATTTTTGTTTTGGCACCTGAAGGGAAAAAAAGGTACAAAAGGTATGAACACCGTTCAGATCCCAAACCAACGAGGAGCATCTGGCACTTTACAGCATAGCACGGCAGATTCATTTAGAACACTAGCAACCCAAAGGACAACCTAAATCTCGGCTGCGACTCAAAACTGGAATGCAGAAAACCACCTACCAGAGTGAACAATTCCACTAACCCCAATACACCACAGGCGGGAGAATAACTCATAAAGGCTATGAACTGAATGTGGCAGTCAACTTGAATTCTAGAACACATAAGTAAATGCCACAAGCGCCAGGAGTCATGCAAGAGCATCTAATATATTGTTCCATGCTTTAGGGATTAGTTTCCTTCAAATTCGGGGGTATTTTTTCGGGCCTTGTTCCGTTACAGTGTACAATAATATGGGATTGCATTGGAAACAGTACAGTGTCTCAATGAAGCTTATGAGGGCGCATGTGTGGACAACATGAGCAACTCTGCAGTCGTTATAACTGTAGAAAGTCTATATATATCAGGCCAAGTTTGTCTCGCAGTGCATCAGGCATTCGCAGCTGCTCACAATGTTGTTCTCCTCTGTTGCACCTGCGAGCTCACCACCATTTCCTAGAGCCGGTGACAGGTCAAGATCTCAGTGTAAGCTCCCCCTTCAGAGCGTGCTTCTTACCTTCTGCTGGGCTTTGGCTATGCGTGCGACAGAGCGTTATCAAAGGCAGAAACCTTGCACTAGAGGCAAAGCATCTACTGGGTTCTTAATCTGTCACAGGCTATAGTTCCGTGGGTTTGATAGGAATATGTTCCGAATTGGGTGCACCCTTCAGGCTGTGCATAAAGGTAACATTGAAATGCCGTCGGCAGCACAGTGACAAAACAGCTGCTACACTTCTGGCTACCGAACAGGCTACACTCTAAGAAAAAAAGATGGTCTCAAAGGACTAACGGCAGCATTTGGTCCCCTGAACTACGATTTGCTCCCCGAAGGGACCATACGGGTTGAGCTAGGTACCGTGCGCAAATGCTGCGGACGAACTGCACTGAACCAGGACAAACCGAGAGGCGTAAAAGAGCAAGAGCAGCCATTACTCCTCCTAAGACAGGGCACATCTGTATGTTCTAGTTCCCCAAACGCGCGGACAAGATGGCGACAGCTGCTGCATCGCTGATGGTTAGCGTTAACGATGCACTTACTGTTTTGGAATGCAGGGGGAGGTCTCCACAGAGAATCGTATCATCAAATATTGTAAGAGGGGGCATGTTTAAGGGTTGAAGCTGATTTTATCATGATTACAGCCTCTGTTCCAGCACGTCGTGGAAGCCAGGACTGCAGCACTGCATTCTTTTTGGAAGCGTTTACATTTTCATTTCGGTTTTAACTGGGCTGAAAATACCCACGTAATATGTGCTAAAAATGTCTCCAAAGACAAAGAAAGGTTGTGGGGATTGTGATCCCTCAACATTCTGTCGCGTCAGCGTTTCGGCACGCCGTGGCGGCCGCGCTGGCGTAGCGAGAGGTGGCGCTGCTTACCACTGTGAGTGGCTTCCTCCTCTCCCCCCTTGGGGCGATTTCCGTAACGAACCCCCGCATAAAGGAGATCGACGTGTCGCTCCTTGATTGGTCACTTCGCCCCCGCCGTTATCTTAAAACCAGCGGACAGCAGTCTCGCTTGTCTTCTTCCTGGGATTCGGCGGCGGCGACAATGGGGAACCTTCCGGCGCACCGGTGAGCGTTTACCCCGTCCTTTGTACATTTGTAAACGACCGTTCGGCCGTGGGCAATCTCCACACCGACGGCGTTCACCAGCTTATAGCCGCTGTGTTGTTGTTATTTTGTTTCATTGTAAATAAACAGTTTATCACCGTTACCAACGTGACGTGTCTGTTTGCGCTCAACGAGCAGCATGCCACGCGAGTATGAACCCGCTTTGCGGTAGAGCGTCTCGCCGCGAACGTGGTACTCCCAAAGGCAGTGGCCCAAAGGAGAACCACAATTTGGCGCCCAACGTGGGGCCCGAACCCACGACCCCGAGATTAAGAGTCTCGTGCTCTACCGACTGAGCTAGCCGGGCTGTTGTTTCCCGTGTAGTTGCAGCCGCTGGCGGCCTTTCTCTTTTTTTATTATTATTTTAGTCTTGTTGTGTGTTTGTGTTGGTCCACCCGTTTGCGGGTGACTATTGGCTAAGGAGGGGGGAGTGTGGGGATTGTGATCCCTCAACATTCTGTCGCGTCAGCGTTTTGGCGTGCCGTGGCGGCCGCGCTGGTGTAGCGAGAGGTGGCGCTGCTTACCACTGTGAGTGGCTTCCTCCTCTCCCCCCTTGGGGCGATTTCCGTAACGAACCCCCGCATAAAGGAGATCGACGTGTCGCTCCTTGATTGGTCACTTCGCCCCCACCGTTATCTTAAAACCAGCGGACAGCAGTCTCGCTTGTCTTCTTCCTGGGATTCGGGGGCGGCTACAATGGGGAACCTTCCGGCGCACCGGTGAACGTTTACCCCGTCCTTTGTACATTTGTGAACGACCGTTCGGCCGTGGGCGATCTCCACACCGAGGCGTTCACCAGCTTATAGCCGCTGTGTTGTTGTTATTTTGTTTCATTGTAAATAAACAGTTTATCACTGTTACCAACGTGACGCGTCTGTTTGCGCTCAACGAGCAGCATGCCACACGAGTACGAACCCGCTTCGCGGTAGAGCGTCTCGCCGCGAACGTGGTACTCCCAAAGGCAGTGGCCCAAAGGAGAACCACAAGGTTCATTGTGTTTTTTTTTATTCTTGTATTCTTTAATATGTTCCTCTTCTGCAAGAGACAATGCGGCTGCCATGGAGACACGCATGCAGAAAGTGGGGCAGTCTATGCGGGGAAGCGAGAACAGGGCTGCTGGGAAGCTGTGGGGATGCCGTTTTATAGACTGTCACAAATAATTACTGAGTGTACCGTTACTTCTTTGTCAGAGATACATTCCTTGGAATGTTTAGCAACAATATTGAAGAACAATATTGGTGCAAAAGCGGCACTAAATTTGTAACATCGTTCACGGACAAGGTGGTCACTCACCAAACGACTTCTTTTTAAATGATCAGTATAAAAGGCGCATGGGTAGCCTTTGGGGGCAATGAATGGATTAGCGTGTCATTGTGTGTGTGCTGTGTGTGTGCCATGTGTGTTTTAATAATTTGTCTCTGTTAAATGCATATGTGTGCAAATGTGAATGTAATCAGCATGAGAAAAATCTATCCTAGCGATATCTTTTTTCCAATTTTGATTTTGACGTTGACTAGCACACTTGGGTCTTGTGAGAGTTAGTGCCAGTTACTAGCTAAAGGTAGTTAAAGATACTAGGTTGGTTAGGAACCGTTACCAGCTTCTCGACCTAGTATTGGCTTGACCGTTACTACCTACGGTTACTAGGTACCTAGTAACATATGTGACAAGCGGTTACTGCTTTTTACCTCCTAATAAATTTTACTAGCTTTTTTTTAAGAGTGTACATTTGATTTGGACTGCAGTGTCTTGTTTCTGAGATTGCAGCATGCTGGATAAACCAGAATATCTCTGCAAAGCACATTTCTTCATTGGGGCACGATTTGTGGACCTTTAGTCCAGGAGGACTAAATGCACGGGTTGAAAATTTAGTGGCTGGGGACTAAATGTAAAGAATTAACTTTTCGTCCCAGAAGTCTAAATGTAAAGGCATGACATTTAGTCCCAGGGGTCTAAATGCAAGAGCACAACACTTAATCCCAGGAACCTAAAAGCAAAGGCGCAACATTTAGTCCCAGGGGACTAAATGTAAGGGCATAACATTTAGTCTTAGTGGCCTAAATGCAAGAATGCAAAAGTTAGACTTGGAGGTTCGACTTTGAGGGACTAACAGGAGGGGTGCAAAAGTAGCTCCCCTTCGTACTAGTCCCCCTGGAGACTAAAAGTGGTGGCAGCGCATTTGGTCCCTGGAGAGACTAAATACCGCTCCCATTTTTTTTAGAGTGCACACGCATGTGAGGGGCATAAGGACAGAGTTTCCTTTCGGTGTTCCAAAAGATAAAGCTGGAACAGATATTTTAAAAGAAGGAATAAGGACAAATATTTGGAAGCAAGGAGCACTCCGTGTGTGGGCTCCATTTCGAATCTCGCTTCGCCCTTCATGATTTAATTCACAACCCTATCTACCGAACGAAACAAATTTTGTATTCTCACGCCTGTTGCCACGCACGTGCACAACCCTTCAGAGAACACACCAGTGTCGACACCTATCATGATATATGCCATGTGCCTCGTGCCAGCCGCTCCGTTCCCAGCAGCATGCTGTATTCTGGTCTAGTACACTGCAATTCTGTGTTGTGTGGTGCCTATTCTGTGTTGGACAAAAAAGCAGCTTTCATCAGGGCTTAGGTTGAAGAAAACCGGCCACGGGCGTAGGAATTCCCAACTACCAGGGAACATGCACGTGACCCAAATTCTTAGAAAAAGTCTCTGTACTGATAAGGAAATGAGATAAGGGACACTATTTTGTCAAAACACCTGAGACTGGGTGGAGATACATGAATCAACCAAAGGAATAGAAACGAAACGAACGACAGAAGACGACGTCTCCTTTATTTAGTATCCTCTCCATATGTACAGGGTGTCGCAAAAGAAAATTTGCACTGTCTTTTTTACCACAAAAATAAACTAGGCATCCCCGAACGCTCATTCTCCGTCCAAAGGTCGAGCTAGAGATCACAACCAGGTGCCAAAGTTTCAGCTTGATCCGATAACTTAATCAAAAGTTTTAAGTGACTTTCTGAAAATTTCAATGGGAAAATGGAGCCCATTTTTGCCCGTTTTCGGTTTCTGGTGCCATAGAGCCCCAGGTGTTTGAAAACTCTGTCAGTTGCCATTTTCCCATTGAAATTTTCAGAAAATCACATAACTTTTGATTAAGTTATCAGATCGGACTGAAACTTTAGCATCAGGTTGTGACCTTTAGAGCTACCTTTGGGCGGAGAATGAGCATTTGGCGATGCCTAGTTTATTTTTGCGGTAAAAAAGACAGTGTAAAATTTCTTTTGTGACACCCTGTACATCATTTTCGAGGTGGTCAACGTCACAAACAAAAAATAAAAAGGAGCGTAGCTCCCAGACAAAGCAGCAGCCTTGTGGACAGCTCAGTGCAGGCTATACTTTGGGTAAACACAAAATAAATCTGTATATAGAGATTTCTTCTGGTGAAGCTTTGTTTGCTCTTACTCAAGGATAGTTCCTATTAAGGTGCTTTGATTTCCCCCGATTTCAATCAAACAGAAAACAGAGAACGCCAAATATAAGCGAAGCGTAATGCTGCAGCTCCAAGGATGTGCAAGCCTATCTCCAGGAAGCTGCTTTTAGAAGCGGACTGCCAAAAGGCATCCCCTACCTGAGGAATTTTGTTGTTGCAAAGTGGATATCCACAGAGCAGCATTATGGCTCGTTCTTCAGCAGCATCTTGATAATCTTGCTGAGACAAGTGATGCAACTAGAAGTGAAAGAAGAAATCTTTACACAGTGATGAGAGCCCCATGTGTCAATCTGAAACACCTATCAGACTCAGAGTCACAGTGACTTACGGACGGCCCATTATCTGCTGTCTGAAATTCTTAAAGGTTCCAACAGTTAGGTATCTAAACTTAATGATCTGTCTCAAAAGAACTACATGAATATTTGGTTAGGCTATGACCTCAAGAACTTGCAGCCTCGTGTCAAAATTAACGGGAGCACCAATGCCCGTTTAAATTAATATATTATCCAGTCCAATCATGGCTACACACACAGGGCAGTTCCATCAAGTGAGATGCAGGAAACAATAACCTGTGAAAGCCTTTCAGATTAACTTTAACACGGGGCTATGCCCCTCAGGAGAACTTGGAGATCTGAGGAAGCTGTGGGCACCATGATCTCAATTAGGGCATCTGAGCAAGCCACCTCCGGAGGGGAAGGCCCTAGTCCGCTAAAAAAAAAAGCAAGGAACTTCAAAAGAATGTCTCATCCTATAGACCGTTTTACTGAAAGAGGGCGAGAGAGAAAAGGGGAAAGGGCTACCGGCGCTTTCCCCCTTTCTGATTGTGTAGAAAGAGAAAACGTCCCGGATGAGAGGCTTGGCCGGTGTTGGGTGTCTGCTGTGCTTCAACTTCGTTCGCGCTTTCTTTTCTGTTTTGAACTCGCAAACTTAATTAGAGTAACGGGCTTCGATGGCAACAGTTCCCCGGTCATCGGGACACCATTGCTCGGTCATAGGGTGCACGAATAACGACAGAAAGCGTCGAATACTGTCCGAGGACCTATGTAGCTTGCAATGAATCCGGCAAGGCGAGAGCGGCTGCTATGTCTTTAAGCTCCATCGCTTAAACAACAGTCCCCCTGTCATCGGTGTCCCGATGACAGGGGGACTGTTGCCATCGAAGCCCGTGGCTCTATTTAAGTTTGTGAGTCTAAAACAGGAAAGAAAGCGCGAAAGAAGTTGGGGCACAGCAGACACCCAACACCGGCCAAGCCTTTCATCCGGGACTTTCACTCTTTCTACACAATCAGAAAGGGGGAAAGTGCCGGTAGCCCTTTCCCCTTTTCTCTCTCGCTCTCAAAATGGCGCTACCCACGATAAAACGGTCTATAGTCCGTTACAACTCAAGAAGGTAGGGCGAGGGTCAGACAGGCCGGGGAGGAGGAAGGAGACGGAAGCCTAAAGAGAGAAGGAGATTTTCCCATCTCTTCTCCAGCATTCCGTCTGCTTCCTCCTCCCCGGCCCTTCTTACCCTCACCCTACCTTCTTGAGTTGCAACGGACTATAGTAAAGTATCGCCTACTTATGTATATTATTTTATGATTTCAGAGTTTATTTTTTGCGAAATTCAGAGTGTGTTTTTCGGTTAATTTCTTGCTAGAAATTCGGGTTTTATCAAAGTTTATTTCTGTTAGATTTCCAATTCTCTGAAATTCTGAGTTTAATGTTACCGTGTTCCTAAGTTTTCAAAATTCAAAATAAAGATAAATACATTCCGGAGAAAAACATACCCTAAGTTGATAAAAGTTAATAATCCCAATCGTCATTGCAACTGGGAGTACTAGTTGTCCTACGACACATCTTGAGAACAAGTTTTTCTTCAATAAACATTGGTACTTTGAAATAGCCAAACTTCTGAATGTAGTCATTGAGAGGCATAAGAGTTTCAGTTGCCCTTCTATAAAATCTATGGGTTTTTTCACCATCATAAAAACATAGCCCCTCCTCTATCTAAGAAGCACAAAAAGCATGGTCCAACACAGCCCCTCCTCTATCTAAGCACAAAAAGCATGGTCCAAACTGGAAACTGGAGCAGTGGCTTTTGTTGTGACCCATTCTACTGTACGCACTTCGACGAGATAAATGCGAAACTCCATTTTGTGATAAATGCAAAACGAAAAAGAAAATGAAGTGGCCTTTTTCAGGATTGCTAATCCCGTGCTCGACGCACTTAATTAATAAAATACCATCTTTACTGATTTTTATTTCGCTGCTGTGACCTCAAAACCCCAAGTTTTGCAAATAAATCCTAATTTACGAAAATTTTACTGGTGACTGTGGAACCCTACTTATGTAGTAACATTAGAAAGTTAGTATGAGGAGCTGCTTGTGCCTCCATAATACTATTGATTAGCTTGGCAGCGTGCATTAGGAACTCATGTAAGGACTGCGGCCCAAACTCCAAGTCCCGAATGTCCCACTCCGATAACTTAAAAGAAATTTTTCTCCTGTAGCAGGGTTGGCTGAAACTGAAACATTTATGAAAGAAAACAAGCCTTTGTCTTTTTGCCGCAGCATGTAGAGCTGCCTTCAGAAAGTTTATAGTATGACAGGAGCAAGACAAGAAATCAAGCTTGTGCATGCAAGCTTGCTTTCTGGTGGCTGTCACGGCTGTTGCAGCCCTGACAGCCACCGTGGCTCACAAAACAGCAGGGGCAACAAACACGGGCGTAATATCATTATTCATTCACCAAACTGAAATGGAGCACACAGCAATTATTAACTTCCTCATGCAAAGACATTTTGAAGTTGGATAGTTAAGATCCTCATTGCAGCTTGGAAATTCATAAGCATCACCAAGGAGTCTTAGAAAATCGTATTCTAATAGTTGATCTATGATACACTTCCACGTACTGCCACTGCATGTCAAACCATGTAGAGTGCAGCAGAGATGCTTTACTGTGGCTGCATCAATAACTTGAGAATGGCTTTCTAAAGCTTTATACCGGCTAATTCCGCTGCGAGACAGTTTTCTGTATGCATTTTGTGAGAATGCAAGTGTTTACAGTATAGACTTTACATTGTCATACTCATTCTCTGTCAACAAAGCATGGTCACCATCACCACCCTGTGATTTCATCCTTCGAACGCCTTTTTATAATTCGTTTCAGCTTCCGTCTGAGCGCAGCCAAAGCTACGTGTAGCGGGAGCCAATCACGCGCCGGCAATAGGTCACGCGATCCCGCCTGCACTTTTGTATCACTCCGCTGCTCCACTGGTCGTCCGCACCGCCCTCTCTCGCCAAGTAGCCAAGGGGATGTATTTCGTCCGCTACAGGTGTATCAACGGTATCGTCTGTCGCAGGTTTAAAAAGTGCCCTTTTACGTTCTGAAATTTAGACACAGAGAATGTTAGTATGTAGGCAGGTTGCTGGCATCTGTGTCCGAGCTTTCCACCTGTTCGGCATATAGTTTCGAGATGTAAGTACATGTTGGAAGGTGCTCGATGACCCGGCCGTTGATGTTTCCTTGTATTGTGTGGATATACCAGGGCTCGAGGCGCAGTCCTTTCCACCAGCTTCTCTGCGTTCAATGTAATCGGCAGGTACAGGGGTGCCCTGATTTCGCCGCATATCAGTTAATTGTAGTGGCCCGGCCTGGTTAACAACTTTGCGGTACGACACGGCCGGAGTCTCCTGCCAAATGCGAAAGTAGACATTCATCACGACCTATGGCGCCTGACGCCCAAATGTGTCTTTGCGAAAGGACGTTTTGAAGCGACTCGGTGAGGAAAGCAGCGAAGCACATGATTCAGCCATTACGGGAACGAAATCGCACAAAAAAAAACGAGCGCTGCAGCCGTGTTGCTAAACGATGTAGGTGTTTTCACCAAACCACATGCATTTATTTACATATATTAATAAAAGCATAAACTTCAGGTATTTAATTCCTTTAGTTGCAAATTATTCTCAGCAGTACACAGTTATTAAAAAAAAATACTTTTGCGGAGTACTTTGTGGTGCGTAGGAATTCTCTTTTCAAAGTTGCAAACCACCCCTCAGCCTTTCGCTGCGCTCGGACGGAAGCTGAAACAAAGTATATAACTAGGATTTCTTATTTCCACGTTTATTCCGAGGAAATTTGGTAAAAACATACTAGCATTCATTTTGGTAGACAAATTCTACATTTTTCAATCTATGCAAGGAGTTCTTTGTGTGCCAGGAGCCAAGCCAGGTTACATTAGTAAGACTTAACTTCAAACAGAAGTTTTGTTTCAAGAAATCGACTAGGTTTGAAACAACTTCTCATTAGATGAATCCTTTGAAGTTTTACAGTATCAACAAACCAATCATATGCATCTATCAAAATATTCTGGCACTTTTTGCTGAAAACCGAATCAGAAAGCCATCCAACAATTCACTTTTCCGTATCTTTTGGTAAAAACAAGACGCCAAAAGCTAATTTTTATAGCCACATAGACTGGAAACTTTTGAAGGGTGCTGCTCTCCCCCGCTTGAAAGCAGCACTTCATGAAAGGGGTAGTGCAACAAATTTAATGTTGAAAGAATTTGCAGTTTGTATTCTTTATATTGTTTATACACAAAATACAAAGAATGTGTTGCCTTACACCAAAAAACTGCTATCCTGCTGCGTTATCGCAAAGGAAAAAACGAATCATTTGCCAATCTGCAGCAGTGTGTAGTGGTTCTGAGAATTGTGGTGAAACGTCTCTGGGGGACACGCGGAAGTCAACAAAACCTGTACCCCTCCGCAGCTACACTCGCCATCAGCCCAGTGACAAACCGTCTTTTGCGTCAATCACTTGCCGAGACCTTCAACGATGCTAGTCTTTGAAAAGTCGACAATCACGGAGCGAATGGCTGGGGTCTCTGAAGAGAAAACCAATGGGAGACCAGGTAGTCCCCCAGAGCAGTGGCGTACACAGGGGGGGGCCGAAGGGGCCGCGGCCCCCCCCGAAAATTCCGTGGGGGGGGGGGGGGGGGGGGGAGTCGGCGAGGTTACTGACTCTCGGATTTATCAATATCAAACTTCGTGGAGAAGTTGTAAAAAAAAAAGGAAATAAAAAAGGAAGGGAATGCAATATGCCATTTATGACAGTAAAAATAATAAAAAAAATGTTTAGTTTTAACGTCTTTTATCTAATATGACTGGAAAATAATCAGTTAACAAATATCTTTATTTCCTTCTACTTTTATTGCTTCGCGAGTGCCCCATGTCCCTCTCGCGCAGCCACCTGGGCTGGTTTGTCGTCGCCACCGAGCAGCCCCCGTGTCCCCTGTCTTAATTGTTCCTCGAGGACCCCGCTCTGGGTGCGTACCATGCGCTGCGCCTCGCTCGAGCACAGCGGGGCCCCTCGATGTTTTGTAGCCTTTTTTTATTTTGAGAAGAAGCGTCGGTACTGCTCTTGCACCCCGACGAGGGTTTTTTTCTTGAAGCAGTGTCCGGCTGACGGTCGACAGTTAGGGCGAAGGTTTTTAGGAGTTTTCGGGGGTCTATGCACGTCTCCTTTCTTAATTGGATTTTGTATTGTATGTGTTTGTTTTGTACCGCGTGGCTCCCATTGGTCTAAAAAGAGCGATATCTGATTGGCTCCTCGGATGGCGGGAAAAGTCTTAGCAAAGTGAATATAGGCGCCTAAAGGCGCGGGATTTGCGGTTCAAGGTTCGAGTACGGAAGATGTCATCGGCAGTTTGAGAACCGCGCGAGATAGGGGCGCGAGTGTGCGACCTGCTGCCTCAGGACGAGAGCCAAGTGCAATATGCGAGTGTGTAAACCTTTTTACATCGTCCCTTTGTTGCGTTGTGTAACTTCCTTGACTTTCTTTTGTGAGCGGACTTCGGAAACCTTAGAATTCGACACCAACAAACAAATCACGTGAGATTTTTGTTGGTTAGATCAGGTTAAGGTAGGGAGTACTTTATGGTGGAGCAGCTTTCCCGTGCTTATCGTCTATCCATCAAGATGTTCCGCGTTTCTACTTATGCATCATTGTTTTATCAGCCCCGATGACTGGAGGCTTTGTGCATTGGAGTCGTGCTTCATAAAATATTTGTTATGATTCTTGTTTTCTGCTTTCTCTGGTGCCTTCTTTCGACATGACTTGTAAACAAAAAAAGTAAAATGCAAATGCTTTCCTGATGCGGAATTTCCGGGGCATCATTTTTATGTATCATAATCATCCCAAAACCAATATGACAACTTTATTTTAATTACTTAATAGAAGAATGCATAGTTATTAGAAAAAAAATGAACATGGTTTTATTTTGTCTTGGACTTTCTCTTCTTTTTATCTTGACCCCCTTTACTCTCGTTGGTCCGGCCCCCCGCGAAATGAAATCCTGCGTACGCCACTGCCCCAGAGTATGCCTCTCGAAAGACGACGTGTGAGCTGAGAGGCACTTTGACCTTTTGTTTGTTTCATTCTTTTTTTTTTAAATAAAAGCTAGCACGTGCATGAAAACACGGTTTTCCGTTCTTCGTTCCATAGGTGACAGATTAATTCTCTCAGTTAATTGGCCAAAGTCCCAAAATCACTGCACCACCCCTTTAAGTATTTCCGTTTTCTTGACTTTTGCAAACACCAATCAATACAATTAGCCCTAATGATACCGTGCCATTTTTTGACTGTTATTTAACCGTTTGACAATCGTTGCCCTACATGCAAAGCGGCGATTACATATTGGAAAGTTCCCACTTAAACGCGAAATTGCATGTACCCTGATAAGTGATGCTATTAGTTATGTCTCTGGCAAGCTATAAACGTTTTTACAACATGTTTCACTTTACTGGGGCTATCCAATTTTTGTAATTAGATGCTCTGCGTGTGTGATACGCGGTCACTTTGCATGTCAACTGCTTTGGCGGTAGTGGCAATCAAAGACCCAGTTTCAGTTCAGACTTTTAAGGCTTCCCCGAATTAAATTCGGAAGAGCTCGTCAGCCCCTGAAGAAGCTGAGTAAAGTACTCCCTGTTCGGAATCTTAGATTGCCAGAGCGTCGTAGAATCAAATGCGTTGAAATGAAACCTAATCGAAAAAGGCGACACCTTTCTGCCCTCAATATTAACATTCGGGGCTTCGTAACCTCAGCAGCTTGCAAGCAGTGCACGTCTTCCGACTATGTAATTAAAAAATAACTTCGCATTGACTCTTTCTTTGTGCTATCCCTTCGAAAAACAAAACCAGACTTCTAAAATATATGTTACAAAAATGAAAAAAACAAAAATGTGAAAGAATTAATATTAAAATGGCAATATTTAGGCTGTCTGCAATTAAGTAAAATTAAAGTTTTTAAAAGTATCATCTCAAACATTAAAAAAGAAAAGTTAAGTTTTCTGTGCCCCAAGGCAGTGAGTGGTTCTCAGCTAATGATGTTTCGCGGACCCCTTGCGGATCGGTGGAGATGGTGGAGGACCCCGTTTGTAGTGTGGGGAAGGGAAAGTATAGGTTAATTATGACAGTGATTTTGATAAATAGATATAACTAAGGGCTAGTGGGAAGTAAACTTCTTTTATTGACATATACACAAGAAAATGCACCCGAAAATTGTAACGTTTCTTCTCCCAACCTGAGAAAAGACAACTCTTATTTCCGGGCTTGACTGATGAGGCTGGGCTACGCGGACCCCCATTTGAGAACCACCGCCCTAAGGTATAACTAGGGTGTGTATTTTCCGGTTTTAACCGAAAAACACCGATAAACATCCGTCGGTGACGAAAATATAAAATCGGTTAAAACCGAAAAACACCGGTGGTTGGCTATTTTCGCCCTGGTTAAAACCGAAAAACACAGGTCGTTGCTGGTTTCCGACCTAGCGAAACCCTTTCCCCGTAGAGGTTCGCCAAACGTGTTATCTTGTGGATCCTGCATTCTTCCAGTGTTTATACAGGGCTTGCAGGTGGCGTCAGTCCGCCCCCCTTCCTGGGGGTCAAAAGCGTCTAGTGAACACAGTGGAAGCTAAGCTCTCATACGCCTTTCACCTATAGTATCTCCCATGGCCCCCTTTTGTGGAAAAATTAACGCAGTGGGGGGTATGCTCCGACGTGCCTTTTCCTCATTGTGTCTGGCCATGTATTTAGAGGTTGCTCTGGTTCCTGGAAGACATTGCCAACGTCCGTGTCATACAGGAGCGTGCGTTTTCATAATTGCAGGTTGCGAACCGCAAGGAACGTGCTGCCATGACGGCAGCACGTTCCTTGCGTGTAGATGCAAGCATGAAAGTATGCTTGCATCTACTATGATAACCAAGTGTGAGAAATAGTTGCTTCCTAGAGAAGAAGTGTATGAACTATGTGAATAAAATTGGAACTCTTTGTCTGTGATCAATCGCTTTTTTTTCACCGATAATCACCGATTTTAGCCTCGTCGTAACACGTTCCACCGAAATACACCGGTGTTTTGAAAATAAATAAACACCGAAAAACATCCGCCGATTTTTCTCACAAATAAACACCGGAAAGTACACACCCTAGGTATAACTGCAAAATTTTAAAAAATTTAAATAATGAAAAACTCGAAAATCAGAAGCTATCACGGGTACTCACGACACTCAACACCCACTCCTCGGAAAGGGGTGCCTCCAGCATATCTTCCACAATCTGGGCTGCTCGCTTCTTGCAGGCATCGCGTCTCTCGATTGTTTTCAAGATTGCTTCTCTCCTGTAAAATGAAACAACAAAATAGTGAAAGAAGCCTACCATCACTGGGAGTGATCACCGTGTTCGAAGTTTCCGTTCTCCCTTCAACAATGCTCTTACTACTCATACGTAATTACCAATTCATACAGCATTTAGGAGGAAATTCATCACGAGTGGCCGTTTCCCAAATGACACATATGGAACAAAAACTTATTACCAGCTTCCACTGCAGCAATTTAACCGAAATATTGCGGACAACGCTGTCTCTGGACGCTTATATAAGTCAGACTTTATTATTATTATTATTTAGAAACATTCAGTAATGAGAGAGAGATATGGTAATTTATACAATCATAAAAGCGTAACAGAGACTGGACGAAGTCGGAGAAACACTCGGGACAGCAAGTTATATTGCGTCTCATGAGTCTACTAAAAGACAATTTTCGTTCCATGGAAGGTTTTTGCTGCGTAAACATAGCCAACAACGTTAACAAAATAAAAAATCTCAAAAATACGCGGCGATACGGCAGGCAAGTCCGCTTTAATGAAGGAAGTGTAGCTACCTGTCGGACACCTTGCTTGCAGCAGGTTTGGGTTTATCCATCCTTGCGAGGACAGATCTACATTTACGTAATGTGGAAGAGGAGGAACAACGATTACGCTGACATCTTATAACACATAGACGGCTGCGAGACTGTTCCTGTTCGGTTGAGCATAGTGCAAAGCTCTCATCGCCCCAACGTGCCTGAATCAAACGCATCAAGTCGCCATCACTTAGACTGGCTTGGATTGGATTGGAACGTATTTTAAAATGTTTGTTTCGCCTTGTTGCCAACTGAGTCAGCCTCCCGACCCGAGGTCGGCGATAAAAAAAAAATCAACGCATAAAATAGTCGGCGAGAAAACAAAATTTACTTCGCTATGTTTCATTTACAACCTACTCATTCACTAAACACGCTATTTCTTGACTAGCCGGCATATTACCCGCTGTCCACACAGGTGTCGCGAAAACGAAACTTCGGTTTTTATCACTTGCACTGTTGTACTGTAATTTCATTCATATCTCATTTATTAACCGTCACAAATAAAATGTATTGAATCACGCGGTCACTAAGTTCATGTAACTAGCAACAGGAGTCCCAGTCAATAGTTGTTAGCAATGGTGAATCAACGACATGTTCTGTTTTATGGGAGGCCCTCCAGCAGTTTATTCTTTATTAAAACTCGAAATATAGTAAAAGTGTGCAACGGGGTACTTTTAAAATATTAAATTTCTTTGATACGCGTTTTAGGAAAGGAGGCCGTCGAAAGTGAGGAGGAGGGAGGCATGGTTTCAACTCGCTAAAACACGGAGCTATTAAATTACATTGATTAGATACCGCACTGAGTCGTCACGACCGGAGAAAGTCAACGCCTGACATTATGCTAAAAAATAATAACAATAATAGTGTGACTAAACTTGAAACGGCACTAGCAATGTTTAGGAAGCCGTTACGTGAAGTACAGTGGCTTAGGTGAAGTGTTGTGCGTGGTGTAAGGAGACATTTACGTGATGTGCTCTGGTTGTCCTTTCTGGCCTCATGGACATGCGCTCTATTTGGGTAAGACTTCAAATGATATCCAATATTTTCGCTCATTAGCTATATTTTTTTTTTTTTTTTTTAATTTGCTATAGCTCAGTTATTTGCGGAAACCGAGTTTCTCGTTAGTTTATCAATAGTAGACATCATATGAAATTGACATCTGGTAGTTCGTCTGCTATTTTCCTCGTTCGAAATGTTTTCTCTTCCTCGGTCGTCCCCTGGTGATGCAGATTCGTTCTTTCCGCCTCTTGTACCAGCTCCGTTAGACAAACTTACTGAAATTTATAAAGTAGAAAACGTTGTTCTGTCTGTGGTTCGACAAATAGCGAAGGGAGAGGCACCGTCCTTCAAATACGATCGGCGACGCAATTGGGAGAGCGTTGTCTTCGGTCACGGCAGAGGACTGCTTAGAAAATCGGCACCGTCAAACACCATCACGTCGTTTGCGTCTTCCGCGTCAATCCGTAAATTTGCGTTGATGCTCAAGATTCTTTCAAAAGTTCACTACCTCTTGGTGACAAACACCCAAAGCACAAAGCGCCAAATCTTTTACGAAGACGTAGCCCTGTTCGGATCTCAAACAGTGGCCGACACTGTCATCGAAGATGTCGCCTGCTTGCTCAAGGTATGAAAACATTAATTTTCGCCAAGGTTTCAAAAACTGTCTTACTGAATGAGTAAATGTGCGCATTCTAAAGAAAAAAAAAAACTTCATTTTCCTGACAAAAGAATATACATACAAGTTGTAACTACTGTTTATACTCCTGCAGTTCATGCGTAAATATAAAATACTCCCTCTTTAAAGGGATACTACCACGAAATTTTGGCGCTCATTTTTTGGTCTATATGTGTTCAAAAGAGCAGTGTCACATGGAACATACCAATATCTTGTTAAAAAAGTATCGAAAAATAATTTTAAAACGAATTAAATGATTAGCAAAGAGCACCTGGTGGATGTCGCTAACGCCTCGTTTGTAATGCTCGACTAGGAACCTTGACAGCTAGTGACGGAGGTTGTCTCGTCTCCGGCCACGAGGAGAGAAGGGGTGAAGGAGGAACTCCCCTCTTCCCGGGAATCCCTTTTGTGTGTCGCAGAAGTCGCTATTGTCCCCCTAGAAGATTATAGAAGATTAACCCGTCACTCAAAATTCGTACAAAAGCAGCCGCTTCGGTGGCTGGAACGACTAGGCCATCCTCTCGACGTCTGACTCGCCGTAGCTTTGCTCGTCTTGAGACGACCTACGTCACGATTGCGTTGGATGTCACGTGCTCTAAGCTGGGCCTTCTCCGAGCGCTTGCCAGAGTGGGCAGTTTATAACGAAAAATACAGCCACCAGGATCAAAATACAAACGTGCGATTGTCATTTACGGATATTGTGGATCATATTCAACCTATTTTTGAACACGACGGGAATATTTCAAATTTCGTTGAATTTACTTATAATCCAGATAGTATTAGTCTATCCAGATAGCATTATCCAGATAATCCAGATAGTATTAAAAATAACCTATAAGTTATAACATTATAGTCCATCATTATTAGTTTGTATCTCCAGTGTAGCACGGAGCTACGACCGTAAGCGAGCTATGTCCAGGAACTGTTGCAGCGTGATTTTGATGGCGAGATTAGCGCGATGATCGTTTTAAAAGACCGCGTAAATCGGTTTTCTTAACATATCGCGTTACAGTTTACCATAGGTACCCAATGGTGGTTCATTTATTATTCAAAAATTGAAAAATATGGGCATAGCTGGCACAAATTCGCAAAACAAACCAGTTCAAATAAACTTTTATCCCCTAAAACTATTGGCGAATGAAACCAACTGCCTTTAGACTAGACGTTCCAGAAATTATAGACAACGAAGCCTTTTCATTTCTTTTTTTTTTTTTTCACCACATCGGGCATTTGGGATCTTTTTTTTTTTGTGTGTGTGTGTGTGTGTGTTTTTGTGCTTCTTTTAAATTGTATGCATGCACCCGTTCTGTGATGCCCATTTTTGTTCTCCCCACTGTAAAGCCGTCCAGGCGTGGGTAAGTGAATAAATAAATTTAAAAAAAAAAATATTTCCCCATAAAACAAACGTTCAACTAACCCTTGTTTTTTTTTTTTTTTTTTTTTTTTTTTTTTTGAAAGAGCATTGTGGCTGAATGTGGCGTTTTATACGACAGAAGAACCGGTAGAGGGAAAAATAAATAAAATTATTTTCATTTGATCTCCTTCACTTTTTTATAGACGCTACCGTAAATTATTGTGTCATTTATTAATTTTACGCGGCTTTTTCCATAAAAAATATCTTCGTATTTTTTCTTAAGTGAGCTGAACCACGGTTTTATAATTTTACTAAAAATTCACCTTAAAATTACACCCCTGCGCTGAATTACGTCGAGATCTGTCAGCAAACCGATTTATGCTGTTCATTCAAAAAGCCATTGCACCATCAAAATTATACATTATTATTATTATATAACTTAATTACAAAAATGCGTGTTGGTTAAATATATTTCTTGATTGCGGCTCTCTTTTTGGTTATTTTATATTATTTTCTTTCCTTGGCACTTCTCTGATCGGCAAGCTAATAAAAATAATTTCTTAACGCCTGATGTACCAATCTAACGGCAGTCTTCGCCTGACCTAATTTTCCGTTCCTCTCTTCTCATGGAAGCGAGTTTGTTCAAAGACAAGATATGAGAAAATTATAGCTTTTTAGAGAACTCGATTTATTGCTCTTTTACTCTTGCCCTTTTCTTTTCCTTTTTTTAATTGTTTAGCGAATTCTTTTTTTTTCTTTTTTTTTGTATTGGCGTATTTCGGTGATTTGTTTTGATCAGACGCTAAAAACGATGGTTAGTGGTAACAAAAAAAAAACAAAAAAAAAACAACACGGAAAGTAGGAGTTCAAGTCTAAGAAGAAAGGGTTTCGACACAAAAATTCATAGCTGGAGCAAGAATTTCCAGAAATGTGTGTGTGTGTGTGTGTGTGTGTGTGTGTGTGTGTGTGTGTGTGTGTGTGTGCGTGTGTGTGTGTGTGTGTGTGTGTGTGTGTGTGTGTGTGTGTGTGTGTGTGTGTGTGTGTGTGTGTGTGTGTGTGTGTGTGTGTGTGTTTTAAGGCCGGGAGAGGGGAAATAGGGGGGGGGGGTGCTTACTGGATGTTATATTTTTAAAACCAACTGATGTTTATCCATCCCCAACTTTCTCGGCGCTTCTCTGCTACATTTGCCCGGGAATATTATTTATAACATTCATAAAATTTCAATAAGCAATTAAATTTCTGGACGCGTATAGTTTTTATTCCACGACTCTATGCAAAGTTTTTCTTTCTTTCTTTCTTTCTTTTTTTTTTTTTCGTTGAATCTTACAGGCAGCGTTAACAAAATTATCACTTTCTGCTTTTCTTGACAAAAGATCGTACTGTTCTCGAGGATTGTAATTGCCTGGTATCATATTAGAACGCAAATCAATGAAAATTCTGGTATTCCTTTGAAACTGATTGAATCAATCTTTATTTAGCGAGCATCAGGTGCAGATGTTAGGGCACCCGCCCTATGGAGGGCATCCTATAGTAGGTTACAGGTGGAGAATGTAGCGGCAAATGCCCCTCGAAGGGAATCATAAATCCCTCCGCCACCTCCGCATCCCATCGTTTCCATGACGTCGCGGCCAATGAGCCAGGAGGGTATTGCCTTTCTGTACATATTTGCTT